AAAGGAGGCCATCTTTGTGAAGATGACCAAATAACTGTTTAGATTAAATCAACGTATTAACTTACACTTCCATCTCTCACAAAAAGGAAGCAAATTAGAATAGAGGAGAGCAAAAAAATTAAATAAATACCATACCATACCATTTTATTTATAGAGCACTTAAAACAACGAAAAGGCCAACCAAAGTGCTGTACAGACAGAACAACAGGTAACAGACAAAGCAAAATACAAAATGAAGTAAATCAGAATATAGACATAAAAACGATGCAGATAATGACGACTAACCAGTGTGGAGCATACAGGTTCAAACACAGATCATCTGGTGTTGAAAGCTATTGAATAGTAGTGAGTTTTTAAACGGGACTTGAAAACCGAGAGGGAGGGGGCCTGTCTGACAAGCAGAGGTAACTCGTTCCAGAGTCTTGGTCCTGCTACAGAGAAGGCCCTGTCACCTCTGCGCTTAAGACGAGTTCCTGGAACTGTGAGGAGCAACTGGTCCGCTGACCTCAGGGAACGTGGTGGGACATACGGTTGTAGCAGATCAGAGAGATGGGGGGGCGACACTGTTCAGTGATTTGTAGACATACATGAGTATTTTGAACTGGATTCGAAAGTGAACCGGTAACCAGTGCAGTGAGGCCAAAACTGGTGTAATGTGCTCTTTTTTTCCTGTACTGGTTAAAAATCGGGCTGCTGCATTCTGGACCAGTTGTAGTCGTGCAATGGAGGTCTGACTGATACCAAACAGGAGCGAATTGCAATAATCAAGCCTAGATGTAATGAATGCATGTATTACTGTCTCCAGGTTATTTTTGGACAATATGGGCTTCAGTTTAGACAGCCGCCTCAGTTGGAAGAAACATACTAAAAAAATAGGGTTAAACAACTCAGTAAATCTGGTAAGGCTCAGGTTTTTCCAGCTTTTCACCAGCCTTGAATGCAGTATTACCTTTGTAAATCTGGAACAGTAGGAACAACTCAAAAATCACATTCTCAGAAAAGATGATGCATGCGCTTGTGTTGACTGGTTCATCCACTGCAGGTGATTTGTACATGTTTATTTGAAAATTTGTATAGGCACAAAATATTCCTACTTGTACAAACTGAAATATGTACATTTGTACACAACTGTTTTATGCATTTGTAAATCTTGTAGTACACATCTATAAAACTTGTAGTATGCGTGTGGATCTTGTGGATTTAAATCTCGTTGTACACTTGTGTGACTACTTTTGAGACTGATTTTTCTTCATATTTTCTAACATTTTGTGACATCACACACAAGTCTATATGTATAAAAAAACATAACTGTAACACAGCATAAAAAGAAAACATGCCACAATATGCAGCCACTACTGGTATGGTGTCCACTGCTACTGGTGTCATTATAAACTTATTGCTGGCTTTTTTTAATATTGGTTGTTTTTGTGAGCATGTTGTTGGAGTAACAAGCACAATGTAGCTTGTTGTGATGTTCTGAATGAAACAAATACCTACCTAAGATTACTTGAGGTGCTTATAGTGGAAAAACTATAAAGAAGTGTATCTGTCTGTCTGTCTGTCTGTCTCTGTCTGTCTGTCGGTCGGTCGGTTGGTCGGTCAGTCGGTCGGTCGGTTCTTAGCTGGACAACTGAGAATTGAAGCACCTGAAGGCAGTGATAATAGAGACTGGAACAGGAGGAGCAATAATGTGCAGGACTGAATTCAGCTGAGAAGAGTTTGGTTCAAACAGTGAAGTGTGTGTGTGTGTGTGTGGGGGGGGGGGGGGTTAGGACGCTTGACAGAATTGGGGCTGCTCTATTCACTGCTCTCTAAAATAGTAATTTCAATTCAACCTTTATTTATACAGGTTGCTAGTCTCATTGAGCCTCATCATTTACAAGAGAGACCTGGTTTTAATCAATTTAATCAAATGTTTGCAGCTGTGTAACAACCTGTTAAAATACACCAAAATGCAGGAAATGGCATCTCATTAATTCTAAATTTTCTGAGGGAGGACCCACGCTCACCCGCTTTGCAGAACAGCAGCTCGGTTCTGGTTTTTCAGATATACCCTGCAGCGACGAAGCCCACCGCCCCGTCCAGGTTGATGTGCGTGTGGATAATTGAGCTTCAGGACTATTTGCGACTTTCCTGCCAGTTCTGTGAGCTTTATAGATCGATTGTTACTTCTGACTTTGAATTGTAAAACTTTCTCTCCATTTCAGCAGAAAGCAGCAGGCGGAAGCACTGTTGGCTTCTGGGCCATGTAGTTCTTTTGACTGGCGTTACAATGTAGCTTCATTGAAAGAAAACTACAAAATGTTGGTGCCTGGCCGAAGTATTTATTTATTTATTTCGTTAACTTTTTATCTTGTACCGTCCCAATCACGTGAGTAATACTAAAGTTGAGAATCGTTGTAGAACCATGAAACAGCGAGTTCGCAAAAGTTGAACCACAACGTAGCGAGGGACTAGTGTACTCCAACAACAGTGTCAAGACAACAGTGGACGACTCACTACTTTCTTCTTTCACAATAAAAGCCTTTAACATGGACTGAGTTTTACTCTTCTTCTTTATAGTGGATTAAAAACCCTATGATGGAACAAAGGCTTTGGGTACACGCGTATGCTGCTGCAAATTCTGCTAGCCACAGTATTTAACCCTTTATTTTAACTGGTCCAATGGCTCAACATGGATGAGTGCACATGCACTGTGGGAGTAATGGAGCATCTCACTCTCAGCTGTAGATCCAACAAAAAGCACTCATGGCTGTTAGGAAATAACTAGACGTACTACTGCTACCTCTTGGACCTGTTAGCAATGTGTTAGTGCCTGGTCTTGGTGGTGGAGGGGGCATACGTTGTGTGTGCAGTTTATCACCTGGTCTGGTCACAAGCCCGTTTTGTTAACCAGAGTGCTGGTTTGACATCTTGATTTTATTGGGCTGGAGTGACATCATTGGGAATTCTGGCCTTTTTATTTAAAATGGGGAATGCCCAAGTCTTCTCAATGACACCAAACATTATGCGAAAGGATTTCCTAGTGCTTTGACAGCCGGTAGAGAAAAATAATGAAGTTCAAGTGAAAATTTAAGGGTCATAAGACAAAAGATTGTTTCTGAAGGCATATGTGCTAGAACATTTAAATCAGCACGATTTTATGTTAATTTATCACTACAGTGTCTTTATGGATTCATTTTTACAAAAAATTCATAAATGACCAAAATCAATATTTTCACTTATTTTGCACTGCAGCCTGAGTTCATTCTGACTCAAGCTGGCAGAAAAAGTCACATATGTATTTACAGTAGTCCCTTATTTATCGCGGGGGTCCGTACCTTAAAGCCTCACGGTAAGTGATAAACCGCGATGTAGGATTAGTAGTACAAGTGGTAAGTAGTAGTTTATATATATATATATATATA